GTTTTCCGGGCTGTGTTACCTCATTTTTGAGCTCAAAAATCATTCTGCTGTCTATTCCTTGGCTGCTGGGGGTTGAGTTCATTTTGGTTGGCTTTTGTTGCTGATTCTGCTGTGTATTTGCTGATCAGTCACTCCTGTTTTCTTTCCATTTTCCAGGTACATGTTCTAAGTCTATCATGATGTAGCTCTCAGTTGGGAATGAGAATGAAAGCCATGCTGATTCCTTTTACTTTATGTATTCATTCGAATCTATATAGTACATTTAGCCTTGTTGATTATATAGATCGTCATGTTATGTAATTAATTAGAGACTGTTTTGAACTAATGAGATACATTTGGATCAGCTGGTTCTGTTAGTTGTAGTGAAGGCTAATCTAGCAATCTATACTAGCTGAATACAGGGTTTGGTTCTAGTACATGTATGGTGTATCACTTCTTTGGTAGTTTATCGTATACAGCATTTGAATTCGATGCATGAAGTTTAGTATAATTTGGTTTTGGTTGTTCCATGTTTAGATATGTTAGTTAAAGGAATGCAGGTTTGCTTTGGGTTTTAATCTATGGTTCTGTGAGTAGAAAATTACATTAAGTGATAGGTTGATTCAGGTCTACTTGTTGGAATTCTGATAATATTGGAGCATGCCTATTTCAATTCGAAATTGTTGATTAGTTGGTGGGTTCTTATTTGCTGTGAATAGGGTAGTTAATTAAGGTCTGTGTCTCTCTATGGAGCTTAGTGCTTCCAATATTCAAAGGGTCTCATGGTGCCTGAGACTCGAACTCGAGTCGGATTATCTGGTAGCCATGGCGTTAGTTTTCTGAGCTTTAGGTTTCTATTTGGTGTTGCGGGGATTCGACGTCGAGTCCCCCACTCAAAAATAAGAACAGCATATCTTCGGGGACTTGGGCTCATCCTTGGGCCCGAATGGAACAATTGTTTTCAAATGTGCCCAATTTGTTCGCATTGGGCAGTTAGCACGTTACTGATGGGCTGTCCCTCTTTGATTTCAATTCACCAATATGTTTGGGACTGGATTATGCCTTGCTTTAATAATCAATCTTCCTTTGTGAATCTGCTTTCTTTTGAGGTTGCCTTTTTTTTTAGTCACATCTTGGGCCTTTCAAGTCAAGTGGCAGACTCGAATTAAGGATTTCTTCAATAATGGAGATCGTCCTTGTTTGAGTTTGGGCTTGATCTTGGGATCAAAATTTTCTTGAATACTTTGATGTTAGTTTTTATAGAATAGAGACAAACCTTAATAGATAATAATAGTTTATCTTTAGGACATCCTTTAAAATGGAATCGAGGTGCGCCGCGCCAAACAAAAATCACAAATTGCGTGGCCCTCTTTAATTATTTTTTTTTTTAAAATCCTTAGAATTCGGGACGTGCCATTTAGCGAATTTTCATGGCCTCCCGCAAAGTTAACAACGCGTTAGTTGCTTTTTGGCGCGTTATTTAATAATTTTACCTTTTTAAACTCAGGTGTGCATTTCATGTGACCCAAATCCAAATCCCAAAACATCGAATAAGATATGTTTAGGATTGCGGGTGCATTTCATGTGGCGCGATCCAAAGACATGTTTTAAACGACGTTCAATCTACTTTAAAATCAATTAAAAGCGGTTAAAAGTTTAAAATTTGCACATACGTTCAAATGTTCTAAAATAAGATAATTGAGCCAATTATAACAGTTGAGCGACCGTGCTAGAACCACGGAACTCGGGAATGCCTAACACCTTCTCCCGGGTTAACAGAATTCCTTATTCGGATTTTTGGTTCACGGACTGTTAAACAGAGTCATTCTTTTCCTCGATTCGGGATTTTAAACTGGTGACTTGGGACACCATAAATCTCCCAAGTGGCGACTCTGAATCTGTTAATAAAACAAATCCCATTTCGATTGTCCTTTAATTGAAAAAACTCCCTTTATTATACCCTTCCCCGGGGTGTAGTAGAAAAATAAGGTGTGACATAAGGAAGTGTTGGCAGCAACGTTCTCACTTTGAGGATAATTCTTTATTCAAGTTTGATTCTTCATCCATGACTTTCGAGCTCGTATGAGCAATTAAGGTATGTTAAGGCTATCCCTTCTTTTTTTTTGGCATGATCCATATGATACAACGAAACGAGCAAGCACGCAAGTTTAACAAATGATTCTATTCTTAGAAGTACTAAGGTTGCCTATATTCCTGATTCCTCATATGTCCTACTACCATATTGTCTATTCATGGGTCTCATAATATTCCAAGATATCATATTGACTTACTTCATTTGCATTGCATTCATTTATACATATGCATTGCATTCATAACTCAGACGGCGTTATATACGCGTATATATGTATATGGGATATGGAAAAAGGTTACGGCGTTATGTACGCACCACCACCTGATTAGCTGGTATACGTTGATGATATTGCCCGTGGCTGAAATGATATGATGGGATATCCTTAGAGGCTTGATGATGATATGTACGTACAGACCTATGCATTACATGACATTTACACGCATATGCATGACATTATAAATATTTCATGATTTACAGAGCTATCCAAACTTACAGGTTGAGTCATGTACTCCATGTTTCTTTCATGTCCTTTATATGTTGATTTACATTCCTTACATACTCGGTACATTATTCGTACTGACGTCCTTTTGTTGGGGACGTTGCATTCATGACTGCAGGTATAAATCAGTTTGAAGAGCCCTTATAGTAGTCGAGGTTAGCATTCAGCGAAGGATCGGTAAGACTCCACCTCATTCGGAGTGCAGCCGAGTTTATGAGTCATCGTGTCAAAGTTTTGCGGCACACTTTTGGGTAGGCCGGTACCCTGTCCCATTTGATGTCAAATACTCTTAGAGGCTTTGTAGACACATAGAGGTTCATTTTGTACAGTATGTTAGAGGCCTTGACGGCCCATATGTATTCATGTTTTAAAAACGATCGTTCATTAATACAAAGTTTGCCCACTTATAGTTATACATTACGAGTTGTGACCATGTTGGTCCATAATAGTTACAAAGAAAGGAATGAGTTACAGAATGGTTCGCTCAGGCCAGTACGACACCGGGTGCCAACCATGCCTCCCCAGGTACGGGGCGTGACAAAGTGGTATCAGAGCGAGTCGTGTTCGAGGGAGTCTACAAAGCTGTGCCTAGTAGAGTCTCACTTATGGGTGTGTTGCGCCACATCTATAATTGAGAGGCTATAGGGCATTTAGGAAATGTCACCCTTCGTTTGTTTCCAGATTGTGCCATAGAGCTGAGCCGTAAGAAGTCAGTATAAAGTTTCCACTAAATTTTGTATGCACTAGAGGTGCTATCACAATAAGCTTTAAGGCGTAGATGTAATTTTTACTTATGTGGAAGGGAGGTTATGGAAGAAACAAAAGATACGATGGGAGTTTGAAAAGTAAGTAAGGTAAAGGTGAAGAATATACAAGATACTCAGTACAAAAAGTTGTGAATAGTCGAGACTTCAGAAATAGTTTGGGTTTTAAGTTTAATTTACAGAGAAGACCCTAGTGAAAATTTTGCAAATCTCTAAGAGTTAACATTCGAGGACGAATGTTCTAAAGGGGGGAAGGATATTACATCCCGTACTTTAACATAAGGATTCGTCGAAGTAATAACATATGAGTTGGAAGGGATTAAGGTTATACATGAAGATAGGGATGTAAGACCCTGTAAGTTTCAAAAATTTCGGAACTACTATATATTGGCTTGATACGTATTTTCTTTGAAGTAAACCATTTTCGATAAAAGTTAATAGATACAATTTTATATGGTTGTGATAAGTTTTAAATTAAATAAATGACATGTTTATAAATGAGGTTTTATTTATTATAAGAGTAGATAGTATTTTATCATAAGAAAAGTTATCCTTTTTCCGTTTTGAGAATTTATAGTACAAAAAGAATTTCTTTATTGTAAAGATATAAATTATTTTCTTACAAGAAAAGAAGGTTATCTTTTTACCATTTTAAAAATTAAGCATACAAAAAGATTTTGTACTCTTTATATGAGATTAGAAAAATTAGAAGTTGAAAATATATGTATTTTTATATGAATGTTTTAATGAAGTAATAGTGTCTGTATTTATTTTGTATGGTACCACATGACCATGATAGTAAAGTGTATTAAAAATGGGTAGTATTTTAAGTAATTTGAGATAATTCGTTAATTAAGTGGGTAAGTTCAAGAATTGTCTTGTCCACGTGGGACCATGACAACTAAAAGTAATGTATGACTAATAAGTGAATGCTAGGTGGTGTTACTTTTTGGGAAGGCTTGCTAAGCATTGAAGTTACACGTGGAGCTCATGCAAGGGAGGTTGTCAAATTTTAAACATTTGTCAAATAGTTGTCTCCTAGTCCTTAGAATAGCAAAAAGTAGAACTTGAACCTTCCCTGCAAATATATCCACATGGACAAGAAGTTAGACAACTAAGTATAGCATTTTCACATTCAACACCAAATTCTCACCCCACCCCCATGTGGCAGCCATGCAATACCAATTAGATAACTCTTAAAATTAAACCTTGCAAGATGGCAGCAAATGGGAGGAATTAATAGTGACTCATAAGTCTTATTTTTTAATTAGGTAGAATAAAGGGGTGGATACGTGTGCAAATTAGGTGAGGTTATGGAATGGGTGTCTAATTTTAGTAGGTGACTAGTGCAAGTATATACCTATGTGTCGTCATTTAAGGAAAGAATGGAGGGAGGAGGATTCCATGTGTAATTGTGGGAGACAACATTTAGTGACTAAGCATTTTAAGTTAGTAGGTGGCTTCTTAGGAGTTAAGTGTTTTATTAGGTGTACTATATATATACACATGGGATTTTGATGACTAATCAAATGGATATTCAATTAATGACATGTATAGGTGGTTAAAGGCCCTTTTAAAAAAAATATTTTACTACTTTGTTGGCTTCCTCTAAATATATATAAAAGATGCTGCACATTAGTGTTATATATACACAGAGACACTACAAACATTTTCTTAACATCTTAAAGTGGAGAAGACTTTGTTTAGGAAAATATGGGCAGCAACTTTACGCCTTTCTCGAACTTTTCTTTTGTACCAACGAAATATTGAACACTTTTGGCTAGGAGTTCATTCTTTTATTTGGGAAATATTCATACTTTGATCTTGGGAATAAGCACTTTGGTATAAGGAAGAGTTCGCAGCAACGTTCTCACTTTGAGGATAATTCTTTATTCAAGTTTGATTCTTCATCCACGACTTTCGAGCTCGTATGAGCAATTAAGGTATGTTAAGGATATCCCTTCTTTTATTTTTAGCATGATCCATATGATACAACGAAACGAGCAAGCACGCAAGTTTCACAAATGATTCTATTCTTAGAAGTGAGGTTGCCTATGTTTCGGATTCCCCATATGTCCTACTACCATATTGTCTATTCATGGGTCTCATAATATTCCAAGAAATCATATTGAACTTCATTACGCATTGCATTCATTTATACATGTGCATTCACCCATGACTCAGACGATGTTATATACGCGTATATATGTATATGGGATATGGGAAGAGGTTACGGTATTATATACGCAACACCACCTGATCAGCTGGTATACGTCGATGATATTGCCCACAGTGGCTGAATGATATGATGGGATGCCCTCAGAGGCTTGATAATAATATGTACGTACAGACCTATGCATTACATGACATTTACACGCATATACATAACATTATAAATATTTCATGATTTACAAAGCTATCCAAACTTACAGGTTGAGTCATGTACTCCATGTTTCTTTCATGTCCTTTATATATTGATTTACATTCCTTACATACTCGGTACTTTATTCGTACTTACATCCTTTTGTTGGGGATGTTGCATTCATGCTTGCAGGTATAGATAATTAGTTTGACGAGACCTTATAGTAGTCGAGGTTTGCATTCAGCGAAGGATCGGTAAGACTCCACCTCATTCGGAGTGCAGCCGAGTCTATGAGTCATCGTGTCAAAGTTTTGCGATACACTTATGGGTAGGCCGGTACCCTATCCCATTTGATGTCAAATACTCTTAGAGGCTTTGTAGACACACAGAGGTTCATTTTGTACAGTATGTTAGAGGCCTTGACGGCACATATGTATTCTTGTTTTAAAAACGATAGTTCATTAATACAGAGTTTGCCCACTTATAGTTATACATTACGAGTTGTGACCATGTTTGTTCATAATTGTTACAAAAAAAAAAGAATGAGTTATAGAATGGTTCGCTCGGGCCAGTATAGCACCGGGTGCCAGCCACGCCTCCCCAAGTTCGGGGCGTGACATAACTGTCCAATTTTCACCAAAAAGTACCAAATCAACCTAGACCACTATCAAACTAGAATATTTATAACATACACATATATAATATTTTGTATTTTATGCATGTACTAGTGTTCATATAATGTGTTAGTCATTGAAGTTAGCAAGCTAGATTGTTAAAGTGTTCACATGCATAAAATTTTATGATGTTTATTTTATGTGTGCATTTATATTTATATTGTTTGTTAGTCGCCAAAGTGGCCAAACTAGTATGTATATGAGGAATATGCATACACAAAGTTATAGTTTTTTCATGAAACTAATGAAATGCCTATTATTATACTTCTATTATTGCTAGAGCTTAAGGATTTACCTAAAGGTGGATTAATTATTCTATGAATAGCGAATATAACGAGGTAAATTAATATTCTTTTATAGTGTGTGTTTAGAGATGTTGTGTATGTTTGATTAAAAATATTTATTACATAATAAAGATTAAATGGCATCCAAATTATAATAGTGTGTCGTAGTATTTACCCAAAGAAGAATTGCGATATACGTTTACTGATTTGCTGAATTTATATTGATTTGTGAGCATGTTTAGCTATTTTGCAGCTATTCCTTTTCATTCGCATGATTCATCTGTTGTGTTCAATAGATTAAACTTCTCTGGGTGGCATAAAGAAGTCCAATTCAACAAGGTGTGATGGATCTTGACTTGGCTCTGCTGAATGATAAGCTCGCTGCCATTACTGATTCGAGTAGTGCGGATGAGAAGTCTTTCCGTAAAGCATGGGAATGCTTTAACAAGCAACTGCCAATAACATTAAGAGTACTATTCCACAAACAGAAAGTGTCAGGGGATACTTGATGGTTGTGAAAGAACGTTTTCATTCTGGAAATAGACTCTCGCTGGTACATATATGGCTGAACTCATGACCATGAAATTCGATGGGTCGCGTAATATGTAAAATCATATCATCGAGATGACTAGCAATGCAGCTTCTAACCTTAGAGATGAAAGTGGATGACTCCTTCTTAGTTCAATTTATTTTGAACTTGTTGCCTCTACCATGACCCAATTCCCTTCTTAGGCCATGATTGCATCAAACACTTGCATTAGGCAAACCAACAATTAAATCCATACGTCGATAGGTAATTCGAAGTGCATCACGAAAAAATAATGGAATAAATAACCGGAATCGTTCATTTTTATTATAAAATACTATTATTAGTTTAAAGATTCGAACATGGTCAAACATAAATGAAGATATATAACGGAATACCACCAAGGACAAGAATCTAAATCCCCAAAATTTGGTTTCACAGGTGCATGAGAAACTACTATGAAGTACAATACAACTACAATATTTGTCTGAAATATAAAACAGAAAAGATAAAGTAAATGAATAAGATGGGGACTCTGTGTGATGCGGATCGTAACATGGAAAGTAGCTCACCACAAAGTCTCCTCCGCGGCAGCGCCTGTGCGCCAAGATGACCACCAAATGTACTTGTCTCAGTACCTGTACAAGTAGTGCAGAAGTGTAGTATGAATACGTAAATCAACGCTTAACAATTAAGTATCTAGCCTAACCTCGAAGAAGTAGTAACGAGTGATCGATATCGACACTTACGAATGGTCCAATAATCAAAGTACAAATAAATTAAAATAGACAGGTATGCGGCATAGTAGGTAAAATATACATGTGCATAACAAGATCCTCATTACAAGAGTAAATATGAAGTCCTCAAATATCGAATAATACCTCGAATAGAATATATAATGGTCAACACTAGATAAAATGTCTCATGCCAAGTCATGAAGACTCATAGGTACACAGACACCTTATCAAATATTACGCATGGTTCTGCTGAGGCGAGAGGCCCGATCTCATAAAAGTAATGGTACGATATCATGTTGTGGCGTACAGCCCCATCCCATAATAATAGTGTACACTACCGAGATCGTACACCCCGATCCATATATACATCTCATAATACTATCGAGGTGAATGACCCGATGCCATAATGGTACTGCTGAGGCGTTCAACCCGATCCCACAGGATTAGTGAAACTTGACGGGTTGCTGGCCCCACTCAGGAATATATGTGTGAGTTATGAAATTCAAGAGACTTTCAGACAAATTCGTACAATACAGGGGAAATCCGTAAAAGGAAGTAAAGTTTTCACTGCTAATCTAGTAGCTCGTCAAGTATCTAAAATAGCAAGTTTGATACCTTATGCTAGTCTAGTCTTAGGCAACTCAAATATATAATTCATTCCCAATTCTATGTCAGATTTCGTGATCAAAATTCAAAAATATTATTTTTAGGTTCTCTTCCAAAATTCGACAATTTCTATCAATTTTCATCTTCAAATCCATATATAATCAATGTATCTAACTCACAATGAGTAGGAATTACTTACGTTGTGATAGATGATGAAAAAGCCCCTTCAAAACATCCCAAAACTAGCTCCAATGGAAGAAATGAGATGAAAATGAGCCAAGTCTTGATTCGCTGACTTATATTCTGCCTAGGTACCTCCTCTTCGCGATCGCGAAGGCCAATACAGCCACCGCTAGAATTTCCTCTTTTGCGATCGCGTAAGGTCCTTACGCGATCGCGAACAATAGCAACCTAGACCTACACGAACGCGAGCCCCTCTCTACGAACGCGAGGCCAAGCCTTCCATTCCTTAGAAATTGCCTTCCGCGATCGTGAACTTCATCACGCGAGCGCAAAGAACAACATGCAAATGAACTGCGATCGCGAACTCCCAACCACGATTGCGAAGAACAAATTCTTCTCAGCTCCATACCACAGTCCGTGAACACGAGCCCCTTTCCATGATCGCGAGTCTCTTTCCGCGATCGCGATTCACACCACTGAAACCAGAAACCAGCAACTCCAAATCAATGGGGATTGGTCTGAAACCATCCTAAAACCCACCCAGTGCCCCCCAGACCCCGTCCAATCATACCAACAAGTTCCTATACCTTATCCAAACTTATTCAAAGGTTCAAAACTCCATGGATAACATCAAGATCGTGAATCAATGATCAAAATCTTTCTTTTAACTTTCAAACCTTACAACTTCGCCGAACACGTCCGAGTCACACTTAGAGATTCCAGATCACGACCAAACTTCACACATAAGTTTCTATCAACTAAATGAACTTATCCAAGTTCCCGGAACACCCCCTGGAGGCTGATAACTCCAAAGTAGACTCATAGTCAAACTTAGCAAATTCAAGAACTTTTAAATTATAAACTTTCGATAATAAGCGCCGAATCACTTCCAGACCACCCGATACTCAACCTGAACATACGCTCAAGTCATAAATCACCTTACAAATCTATAGGAACCTTCAAATCCTGATTCCTATGTTGTTTACTCAAAAGTCAAACCTTGGTCAACTCTTCCAACTTAAAGCTTCCGAATTGAGAATTATCCTTCAAAATCAACTCTGAACTTCCCGAAAACCAAATCCGACTATATGTGCAAATCATAATACATATAGTGAAGCTACGCAAGGTCTCAAACCGCCGAACGACATGCAATAGCTCGAAACGATCGAACGGGCCATTACATTCTATCTTACTTAAACATACGTTCGTTCTCGAATGTGCCAAGAGTCATCCCCAAGCTTCCGAATCACTGTATAACCCCTCGTGCACATACCCATGCCACCTCAACCCATATGAATGCATTAACTCAATCTTGACTGAAGATCCTTCCTGCGACCTTAGCCCAAAAGCCTTAGAACCAAATTTCAACATCTAAAATTTCCTATAAGGTCTGATTCTAGCATACATACACCGTATCAATCTCAACAAGTTGTACCAAAACATAATCATACACCCATGTTGTAACCACACCATACACCGCATAATTCATATGCCCATGGTACTACCTTTTAATCACACTAGCTGCAATTTCCAAACCCATTACTGGTAATATACTTCATGACACATACAAATCTTGTTCCAAACCTCGCAATACTGCAACAATGAAAGAGAGGTACAGACTCTCATAACCACCCATCAAACCAATAAATCATGGGGTTCTTCCGTTCGACAAGAATCATTGCCGTATTCTGAACTAATTAGCGGCATTATCCCTCCAGAAATACATTATGTAAATCTATTTGCAATGATTCCGTTTTTTGGCTTCCTATAAACCCCTCCTAGTTTGTGGCAACTTTCCACTCCTCCTGAGTTGTCTTGCCGTATCTAAAATGGTTCCAAAAACCTTGTCTCACCCAGTACAAGGTGATTGGGCAATAATCCACATCAAACATGTCTAAAGTCTCATACGACATCATCAATGAGACAACAAAACACAACCCAAATATGACCAATAAGGAAAGCAAACCCGATTACAGAACTATCCAGCCCGCGTATCGAATAAAACAACCAAACAAATGCTATGAACTTATCCCACATATGAGAAGCAAAACACACAAAATAAGTGTAAGGAATTGTACCCCAACATTTCACCGTCGTGGTGTGAAACTCGATCCGCACATGATACCGTTGCGGCGCACAACTCGATCCAAACATCTTACCCGTGGCGGCGTGCCACCTGATCTACACATAACAATCAGCAAGGGAATACCCATCAAGCCAAAATGCTCATACTCACTAGACACACGTATAATAACCACAAGCACGCCAAGTGCATAAACATAACTCTTGGGAAACAGATATCATCATGCGCTACAAAGGGCCAAGCACGACTAAGGCACAATAAATTAATCAGTATCTCGAGATCCATTTCACTCATATAACATAAGCCTACTCGATGCCACAACACGCATATGAATAATCACGCATCCTCACACCCACATAGAATAAAAGAGTAACACTTAAAATATAGGTCGATATGAAGAACATCCACCACGCCCGAAGACTCGTCCATAGACAAATGTTGTGTTGTGTAAACATATCTTATCGGGTGTAGAATATACTTCACATTAGGCCTACCAATGGACCTCTAAATTGATTCTGAACACCTCTAAATAGGTATATATCCTTTCAAGATCCACAATGACCCTGACCATGTCACATACATTCAACCTTCAAATCCTTAACCTACTTCTATAATTTGGAACCAAAGAAATAGTGTGTCTCTCAAACATGAACTATCCAATCTGTGATAGTACCAGAATCTCCATGCCTGATCTAAGTCTCTCTCTCTTAATTGACTGGCGCATCACACCTTCACAATCATCCCATGGGAGATAATCCCACAACCTTCCACACCAAGTAACAAAATCTGTACATCCATGGCTACTAACCATGCTATTTCTATAGTGCTAATCAAGATTTGGCAAATCAATACAGGCGACACCAAAATAGCGCCAGTATACTCTAAAATTTTGAAATCTCTCCTGCTCCCTCGAGCTCGTGACATTCCTGTCAAAACTAAACCGCAACCTTGATCCTTCAATCCCAATTCCGTATTGCCCACTGCATCTATCATGTTGTTACGCAAGAGTACAAAAATTTCATCATAAACCTAAACCACTAGTAGAATAAATACTTCATCGACTAGAAACCTTTCACTTAACTTATTTCAGAAAGAAAAATCGCAACACACAACCAAATTCCCATAACCGCAGTAGACACAAATCTCAAGTTGTGGCCAAAACCACCATAACTCTTTTAGGACCCATTTTCACATAACCAAACCATCATAATTGAATCCCTCCAAATCAATCAAATTGCGGAGACTGCCAAGCCCGCGAGTATAGCCACGAAACACCCATATAGCCTTATCACACCGAAGGAACCGATCATTTCCTTTACCATGTCGATCCAGTCCACTACTAAAATGACTCAACTCCTCAGTTTTCTCTTGACTTACCTTCAAAATTAATACCTCTCTTTTCCAGCACACAATGGACCTCAATCA